AATGCTAGAGGCTACCAACAGATATAGTTTTTTCGAAATGCTAACGCTAAACTATAACGTTGTTGCCAAACACAACTAGTTCACTTCGAATTATTTATATCAACATTATTATATTTCTTTTCAAAATTTATAATTCTAATCACACCATGACTCTAAACAACCCTAACAAACTGTAGTTTTACCATTCTCCGTCAATCCAAATATTTCAACCCCAAACATTGGGGATTTGTTCGATTATTGTTTTCTACCCAATCTTGAGGATTTGGAGTTGGACTCAAGACCAAAAGTTGCTACACTTATCATCGATTGGCTCTCAAAGTTTCTACCTTTCCAATATCATTCCCGACAGGGCCGTCTCCGAGAAATCAGGGACTCTGGACGTCACGGAGAAAATGGGTCATTGTGTCATAATAAAATAAAGTCTATCAATTAAATTTTTTTAATAATAAAAAATATTATAGTAATAAGAATAATAAAATGTCAAATTCATAGTCTTATAAATTTATAATTCATAGTCTTAACCTGTTTTTTTATAAATATATATAATATATACAAAAGAAGAAAAAAGTGGGGCCCCCTCCAAAATTGGGCCCTGTCCAGGTGGCCACCTTGCCCCTGGCTTGAGCCGGCCCTAATTCCCGAGACACAACCTAATTACTCCCCCGAGATGCAACCTCCCTATGACCACGAGTCTCAACCTCATTATTTGTACTTTTATTATTGAGATGCATGAATTTGATTTCAGGGAAAATTTTACAAATTTGTTAAAAGTGTTTAATGGTTCTACATTATTAATGATGAGTTTTAGAACCCGGGACCTAGGAGACTAGGTGGGGAGTATCGAACAAGAGCAGAGTGCCTTTTCGATTGCATGAATGTAGAGTGAGTGTATTAGCTTGGTAGTGAACATGTCCACGTCTCCAAGAGAGGCATGGGTATTTATAAAATATATTTGTCCTATACTTGTGTTTCCTAGCCGTTGTCCAGGACCGGTCCTAGTGGATCGGGCCCACTGGTATCGTATCTATGACTAATAATACAAGAAATGCAATTACAAATAGTATGGATATAGATAATGTACAGACAAATAATACAAGATTTGACCTTGTATGGGCCCGTTGAGTAGACAGGGCGTACAGGATCCCATGCCCGTGATAGGCCTGCCTTGCTTTATTGGCAGCAGGGGGCGAGTACACGACTCCGTCGCTGGACACACTCCTTCGTCAAACTCAATTTTTCCACGTAAAACAATCTCTGTTAAACTGAAAAGGTTATCAACCATGAGTGTATCAATAAAGGGCGCCATGCTGCAATCGCCGAACCGGTTAATTATTTCACACCTGGAGAAGAATTATCGCAGATCTTGTGCGCGGGATAAGTTGGAAACCAATTCAATTATTCAAATTGAACTTCTTTGACCCCAAATCAATTAACAAACCCAATAGCAGCACGAAACACAAGTGGTGTAGTAGATTTAATGAACACCAATTCAAAAAAAAAATAAGAGCCGAAGAGGCACCAGTTCCTCTTGTAGTGAGTTGATCTGGATCCAATAACTGCAATTCTCGGCTACAAGACCCCCAATGTAACAGACCAGCAGTGGCGGCAGAAAATTGGTGATGCGCCAGTAGTGATTTTTTTTTTGTGTGTTTTGGGGTTCAAATATGGTCGTCGGCGGAGGGAATTGGAAAATTGAAACAGTTGATGGCGGCGTAAAATAGAATCAAGACGATGGACTTTGTTGGTGGCACAAAACAACACAACTAGGGTTCTTCCTTAAGCGGCGGCAGAACAAAGAGTTTTTTTTTGGGTTTTTTTTGGAGTTTGAGTCAATGAGAGCACCAATGATATGGACTCCGTATCGGATAGGGAAGACTTAGAGCGCCTTCAAGCTCTTGAGAATATGAGACGAGAAAAAAGAAGAATTGAGACGAAGAGAATCGGCGAACCGAGAGAGGAGAAAGGATTAGGGTTTGATTTGTTTATTCCTTGATTTTCTAAATGAGGTTACATCTCTATTTATAGGAGATAAGGAAACTCTAGCTAACCATAAACCTAACCTGACGGTTCAATAAAAGCGACGAGAGAAATAACCGTAAAGAAACCTCGAAGGAGCTTATAATTTCGCTCACTTAATAAAACCTAAATTACAATAATAATACGGAGTAATAATAATAATAATACTAAATAACTAATAAATATATAATCAAATGTCCTACTATATAATCCATAACATAAAGATTTGCCCGGGTCTTCCCCTGTGTCAAAGTGCATGGGTTCGAGCTGAGTAGAGACGCAAGTCCGAGTGTAGTTGCCACCTTGAGGGCTTGGTTTCCTTTAAGTCCCACTTAGCCGAGTAAGGCATTTTTGGCCGAGCGCATACGACTGCTGTGGTTATATGGGTCTTGCGTTGGGCCATTATTGTTTTTATTGGGCTGGATACCCCCAGTCCAAGGCATCCATCAATTACTTCTTTCAAGAAAGCCAAATATAATTTATAAACAGGTGATATGATTTCTCTGATGAAATAAAAGTGGTGTGGAAAGTTTTTACATCATTCCACCAGATAAGATTGCAATTATATGTAACTCACATTTTAAAATGGTCACTTTTCAAATTCTTTTGACATACTACTCCCTCCGTCCTATAATGATCTTCCCAGAGCACTATTCCAACTTCACGGAAATTTATATTTATTTGTGTTTTTTCATGGCATATATGATAAAATAAAATATTCTTGTCACCACTTGTTTTGTTGAACTTTTGGTGTAGTTTTTAAATATGTATGTTTTATTTTTTATTTCTATACCAATATTTAAATAAAATAGATTGAAAAAATTTGGGATTTTTCTTCGTTTTGCGAACTGGGAAGATCATTATAGGACGGAGGGAGTACTATATTGGTTTATTGGATGTATGAAGTTTTTATTGCGGAAACATAATTAATGTGAGTAAGGACATTTCACAAAATACCCTTTTATTCAATAATTAGTATAAATTATTTTTATAATCTATATGGTAACCCTTTAGAGACTAGTGGCACAAGGTTGTTACTTCATCCGTAGAACAAGCATTCTCAAGCCTACTATATATATATATATATATATATATATATATATATATATATATATATATATATATATATATTAAAACTAGCTTATCCTAATAATAGAAGAGTTTTAGTGGTAGTAAATTTTCTCAAAAAATATTACTCTTTTTTCAGCCCTAAAGGACATGCTCTAAGTGCCGAATCATTTGAGGCATTTGTTTTCCATCGAGATTGATTTTTAGCACAACATCCTATGCAAGAAGTGGGGTAAGCTATAGATCAACAACAATTTATGGAAGCTACAATCACAGAAGGAAACAGAAGTTCGAAATAATAATTTTTTTGAAATATTGAATCTTATGTACTTACGTAAAATTGTATAACATTTAGATTTTTGCTTACTTGATTTGATAAATTGCAATTTGTAAGTACTAAAGTGTAAACTACAATAGATTAGATAGGTTAAGTGTGGGGAATTTTAAATAATTTGATTCCCTCATTTCACATTTTGTTTTTTTTTCAAATAAAAAATAATTATAATAAAAAACCCAAATGTTGGTATCTGAATCGAGCTAGGACCACCGGTGCCACCCTCATGATACTAGTCGACATCAGTGATTTTAGAACCAAAACTGGCACGACTATGTACTCTGTCATGCCTAATGCCTAAGATTTTCTTTATTTTTTATTAATTGATAGCTTATATTTATTAATTTTCTAGTCAGCATTTAAAATGGCTTGTATATGGTTGTGGTGGCAACACCGATTAACCATGTAAAAATATGTGATTTCATAGAGTAGTTGAGCCATTTGTTAAATTTTGAAGTGTTGGAGTTGTGCCCTGATGGACAAGCGTTTATTGTTATTCTATCATATATAGGCAGATATAATATGTTTATACATCTCATGCTAATGTAAACAAATATTGTATTTCTAGATTTATATTTAAAGATGTTTATCAGACAGTGTTATTCTGCTTATGAGACTAACATCTTGAAATAAATATTTATCTGAATTTCCATACTCGAGTATTAACGAGAGTGGAATATCATTAATGCATGTGAGACTAGTGTGCGTTGGATGTTTGACTTAGTCTCATAGTCAATGACGGTGTGTTTGCATCCGCAAATGGACAGATATTATCTGGAGATAATAAGATGCCGGACTGACCCATCCTAAAGATGTTGCTTGAACTTTTAATTCATGCTCTAAGCTTCTTTAGTGCGACCACGGGTGTAACTATCCTTCGACTTGAAGTATTACGTTTTCTACATATGTGAACCCGCATGTTTTAATGCATTTTCCTAAGCCATATGAAATAAGGATGGTATACATGCTTGGTTTTGGGTATGCCACAGTGCGTATTCAGAAACGTAGATTACGTACATAGGATTTAGCACTACTCTTTTAAGAGATTAATGTCTTATGGGGCCCACTGATAATATATGACTCAGGAAATTGCATGGTCATGCTGAGATGCTTTTATGACGTCTATTCCTATCAATCGGACTTGATAAATCAGTAAATGTCTTAATGGATAGAAGCTGGATTTTATTAATCCCTTGCATTAGGTCTAGACATTGAGACAAAGGGATAAAGTTACACGGACTTTGAGTCGTGGAAAGGTTTTGACGGTGCACACGTTTTAACTTATAATCTGGGGGCAATAATGCGTTGCTAGATACCGCTTATTGCTTATAGTATTGGTGTAGAGCCAATACTATATGGCCAGCTTTATAAGTGCCTATATGGGTCACACACTTTGGACAATTTAAGGAGTATGTTTAAACAATAGGATAATAAGTAATTTGTATATTTGTAAAATAATAAAATAAATATTTTGGAATATAATATTATATATTATACATACACACACACACACACACACACACACACACATGATCATTAAGCTTGACTTATCTAAGGCTTTTGACAAGCTAAATTAGGAATACTTAAGGGGCATCCTGGGAGCTTTTGGATTCAATGAAAAAACTCAAAATCTTCTCTTAGCTAACCTGAAAGCAACAAGATTCTCTGTCCTAGTCAATGGAACTCCTTCAGGTTTTTTCAAGATGGCAGGAGGGGTCAAACAAGGGGATCCCCTATCCCCACTCCTCTTTATTATTGGTCTGGAAGGTCTTAGCAGGCTACTCATCTCTCACCACCATTCAGGTTACCTTTCTCCATTCAATGTAGGAAGAGTCCCCAACCCTTCACACCTTGCTTATGCTGATGACCTAGTCATTTTCACTAATGGCAGAGTCAGAAATCTCCTCAGGTTGTCCAACTCCATTTCTAGCTTTCTCCAAGCTTCTGGTCAGAGGGTCAACTTACTTAAGAGTAAATTCTACACTTACTCTAGCAGCTCCCCACAAGCACTCTCAGCTAAGGAAAGAGCATTAAAGATTCAACATGATAGAAATCACTTAAACTATCTTGGGGTCCCAATTTGTAAGGGAATTTTAAGAAAGGAAGACTGTGGCTTCCTTATAGAACACTTTGACAGATTACTATCGTCTTGGTATAACAAATCCCTCAACTCAATGGGTAGGCTCACTCTGATCAAATACACTCTTTCTTCTATTCCCTTGCACCTTATGTATGTTCATAAACTCCCTAAATCAATATCCTCAAACTTGATGAAAAGGATGGCCAATTTCCTTTGGGGCTTCAGGGAGGGGAAATCTAAACACCATTGGGTCTCTTGGACGAAGATATGTCAGCCAACAGAATCAGGAGGACTGTGGATAAAACACTTGGATAACATACAAGAAGCATGTGCACTAAAGCTATGGTGGAAAATAAACAATAACTCAGGTATGTGGGCAGAATTCATGAGGAAAAAATACTCGAGGGATGGCAATTTCAGTATTAAGCCTACAGATTCACCAACATGGAGGAGAATTGCTAAAATTCATACCCTTGCTAGAAATTTCACTTACCTTTCAGATGGCCATTACAGATGGAGGAATGGGGAATTTTCTTTCAGCAAGGCCCTTTCAGCTTCCATCAATAGCTACTGCTTGACCCTCTCCAGCAAATTGATTTGGCATAAACTGCAGGTCCCCAAAATCAGCATCTTCCTCTGGAAACTTCACTCCGACGCTCTCCCCCTTTCACACAACTTGAAAAAAATCTCGGTTCAACTTCCATCCTTTTGTCATTTGTGCAAGAGGAATGATGACTTGCCAGATCACTGCTTCCTACACTGCCCAGTTGCCAAAGAAGTTTGGAGCCACTTTATCCAAATCCTTGAGGGGCCCAAAATCAACACTAATCTCAAAATACACCAATACCTTTTGCAGTGGTTTATCAAAGCAAAAGGGAAAAGCTTCACAACTCATCTTCTTAGCATAATCCTGGGTATTACTGTATGGACTCTTTGGAAAGGAATAAATGAAGCAATCTACGACTCCACTCCCAGCTCATCCTCGAGAATGATAAACACAATCCATTGGGAAATTCAAGGCTGGATCTGGATTCACAGAACAAAGAAGTGGATGATCTTTGAAGGAAATGCAGACTCACATTTCCCAAATCGATTCTGGTTGAACGGGAAGCGTTTGAAGATAGGCTTAATTCCAAATGACGATAACTGATAATTGGAATTTCTGTTTTTTACTTTTGAGTTTAGAAGTTGACGTGTAATACTTTCCTCTGAACCTCTGAGGCGTTGGTCTGGTCCTCCTCAGACGTGTTCCTTGCTCGTTTTGATGTTTTTTAATAAATTACTTTACATTTACTTTACATATATATATATATATATATATACATATATATATATATATATATATATATATATATATGCCTATTAGTATATATATATTATATATTGAATATTTTATTTTGGTTTGTCATTTTAATTATGAAATTAATTATTTTGACATAAACTATTTTAAGTATATTTTTATACTTGTTTAAAAATGATATTGGTACTTTATTTGATTTAAAATTAATTTTATATTAATTTTTGGTGTCAAATAAAATACGCTTTGAACATTTAAGTGGAGAATAATTTTGAAAAGAGGAATTTACGTAAATAGCATTAAAACATAATGACTTTCTCTAAATAGCACTACATATATATTTTTTCCCAATGTAGCACTTTTAGTCATTATTCAAGTAAATGTTTGTCATCACTGGTCATTATGGACATTATTAAGTGCTATTTAGAGAAGAAAACAATCTAAGTGCTATTTAAAGAAATGACTTAAGTTTTAGTGCTTTTAATTGCAAATATTTCTTTTGAAAATCTTTCTCACAATCACAAATCATAGTTTTGGCCACCATGAGGATTTAAAGAATCAAAATAATGTCTTGATTGATTATTGAATGGCTAAATTGATTTGTCATTTAGTTAATGACAAAATCATTTATTAATCATGCTTTATTTAAACCACACACACCATTAGCCAAAGGAGTGGATTTTTCTCAAAGTGATTTTCGGCCATTTGATTTCTAGTGAGAGAAAAATATATTTAGTGTTTGATTAATATCATTTGGTGTATAGAAAATATCTATATTATTTTCTTAATATTATTATAAATATTTTCTACAGAAATATACAAGATTATTATTATCCCAATTTTAATCTTTATATTTCATACTACTATAATCTTTACTAGCATAAGAATTGTGGTAGACTCCGGCGTTGTCCGTGTGTCAAAGTTGGAGACCGAACGCTTGAACGGTTACATTTGCACTTTCAACGCTCTTCTTACGACTTCTTCATTTTTACCGTTTCCGGAGAAAGGTATAAATTTCTTACTTACTATAAGTTTTAGTTCATGATTCTCGGCAAGATAATCATGTTAGGATATTAACATTTTTATATTCCGCTGCCTATCCTTGCATGGTTACCTTTCATGAAGTATTAATGTAAAATATTCCATGGATTATATATATAATGCGGATATTTTTTTGGATATCTCAAAATATGATTTACATTTTTTCACTTCTTCCGTCTTAGTGCATTTTTCAAGTTTGATTTTTTAGAGTCATATTGGATGAAATTTGAACTGTAGTTAAACCAAAATTGTAATGTATATAAGTTTAAAATAATTTTATTAGATTTATCTTGTTGAGAATTATCAAACTTTTATTTCATTGTATCAATATGCAATATAAAATGAGAGTAATTGAAGCTCAAAGTTCTTTTTGTTTGACTAAAAAAATCAAGCTAGTTAAATACACTTGGATGAAGGTATTATATATGAATTAAACACCTTTTAATTTGAGTTATGCTTTGTGTTCTTAAAATCCACATGTAAAATGTAGACCTTTTAATATTTTTATGGGGTGACAAATGGTCCATTTTTTGTAAGACTCCATTGTTTCATAGTGTTTATGTACTATGATTCGTAAAATGAGTGTGAAGCTCAGACCAATTAATAATTTGCCTTTAATTTTGAAAACTATTTAGAATTAACATGCACTCATACTCACATAATAAATTTCAGGGGTTCGAATATAAATTTAGTTTAAAGATAATAAGAGTGAGTATGGTACATTATTTAGCTCATACCGAGATGATACAGATAGTTAATTAGAATAGTTTAATTAATTATATTAATTATTATTTAGTAGTTATCTATTATTATTTATTAATTTTTTATAGATTAAGGTTTTTGTATATATTGTAATCTCGTATCATTATCATTTGATCAATCAACAATAAGAATTCTCTTACTCTCTCGTATCTCTTTTCTTGGAGTCCGGAAACGCTTGAAGTTTTCCATTTCTTTACGTCCCTTTTCCTGGAGCCTGAAGACGCTCGAAGTTCTTCCCTATCCCGATATCAATCGTATAAGATTCGTATCTATTGGTTCTTTCATTGAGAGTCGCTCACCAAAAAAAGTATTGTCGGCACCTAGGGTTTTGCCCTAAACTTTTCCGTCGCTGCCCATCGAAGACCACTTCCATTGCAGAAAGATCATCCATGCTTGGCCACTACAATAGACCGTAAGTTGTGTTGTTGCTGGCAATTACAGTTCCTTGCAGGAGAACGTTATTATTATTATTATTATTATTATTATTATTAGTTTTTGGTTGGAAGGACAATTAGCAGGCATGAATTGTAGTTGCATACACCGGCCCAAACTTTGCTTCGCCACCATCAAAACATCCTTCCAGTCATACACCCAGTAGGGTCATCAAAAAAAATTGCGTTGCTACAATTTTGATTCAGCCAAAAAAATTCAGCAGGTTAGGCTTTACCGCAAGTGGCTTCAAATTTGTGGATTATTTTGTGAGGCCCAATAATTTGATTCTCAAAATTATTTAGTACTCCCTAAGGGATTTTATTTGGTTCCTTCCGTTTATTGTGGTGTGTACGCGATTAATTATGTTTGGGGATGATACGTTGGCTGCCTCTATTATTACGGTGATGAACTCTACCTTGGACAAACTTCTTGGTTTGTTGAGGAATGTTTTATAGGTCGACCAAATTATTAAGAAACTCCATTCGTTTCATCCAAGTATAGATCGACCAAATTATGATTCTGCCTTATATGAGTTCAATGTAGAAATTTCTTGCTCAATTCAGAATTTAGTCAGTGGTCCCCCGATTGTACCGATTCTGATTCCCCTAGAGTTAAAACTTTTTCAAACAAACATGATGAGCGCTTTAAGGCATCTTATTGGTGTTCCATTTTATTAGGAAGTATAATTAAATTAGGATACTTCTTTCCTTTCCTACTAGGATTATTCTTTCCTTTCCTACTAGGATTATTCTTTCCTTTCCTACTTGTACTTTGATTACTCTTGTATTCCCTATATATAGGGCTATATCTATCAATATTCAATAAGACAAGTTATTATCAAATTGTATCATGGTATCGGAGCTAAGGCTCTCAAAAACCTAGCCTCTCTTTTTTTCCGACCGCCGCCCACCATGGCAGCCCCGTCGGATCCTTTGGCGTCCTTACCCTCCGGAGTAAAACTTTTGCTTCGGAGTCTCCACAACTTAATCCCAGAAAAACTCACCGAAACAAATTATCCGGCATGGTCTCTCAATGTCCATACAGCTCTTTCAGCTAATCTCCTCCTTGGATGGATTGATGGTCATGAAGCAGCCCCGGCGCCAACTATCTCCAACAACGATAAAACCGTCCCTAATCCAGAGTATACCTCCTCGACCATCGTTGACACACAGATCCGCGCCTTCCTCCTAGCGGTCATCAGCCCCTCCGTTCACAAACATGCTCGCGGCTTCACCACATCTGCTGCCCTCTGGGATGCTTTGGCCG